GTAACTGACTTTTTTTTTCCCAGAGTGGATTGCTTACGAGAGCCAATCAGGATTCAGCCTTAAGCCCGTATCAGACTACGGATTGAGATTGAGATTAGATCGAAATCTGACCAATTAGAGTAAAAGTTACTAAACTCGAGATTAAAGTAAACTTTACCGTGATCGGTCAAATTTCAATCTAATTCCAATCTCAATCCGTAGTCTGATACGGGCTTTAAGTCATCCGATCTAAAACTCCGCATCCTGATTGGCTCTCGTGAGCAATCCAGTGGGAAAAATAGTATCGTGCGCCGTTGGCTCAACTTTACAGACGTTCTCTATGCGAGGATTCGAAAATCGAGGAATTGCCGGCGTCCGACTCGACCTAACAGCGTCCAAAGATACAACCGTCAATGTCGGGAAGATGCGAAATTAATGGCGACCGGACAACGCGATGGCTCGTGGCGATGGCTGGGTTGATTCCAGTGACTTAACAATGTGATGCAAAATTGGCGAGCGGAGGAAGAGGGGAGCCGCGTACGGGCGCGAGATCAGAATAAAACCAAGAGCCCGTGCCTTTATTAAGGTGGCCGGTCCTAGCGGTTATTAATAGGATTTATTCGAGGTCGGCGAACCGCCTTATCGCCTGTTCGTTTGCTCGCTTTGTATGCGTCGCGCGACTGTCGGGTTAACTAATGCAACGTATTATTCCGCGGACTATGCGTATCCATCTTAACGGCACTTTCATTCAATGCGTTGCGTCGGTGCGCTATTAGACAAGAAGAAATTACACGCTGCACGACGACGCGATATTAGTATCGTCCACGATAATGAAACGTCCTTCCGACATGATTCAATAATTCACCAACGTCGCGACCATAATCGACCCGCGCATCTCTCTCTCCGCCGTTCATTATTCGCCGGCGAGTGGATATCGACGCGGCCATCAACCGCCAGCGTGTTCTCGTATTCGGAGGAAGAATCAACGGTGCTCACCCCCCGTGCAATTTATTCCTCGCCGTCCGTTTCATCCGAGATAATTTAACCGAGATTCGGTTCAATTCCGCGCAAGGTCGACCCGCGAAACCTTCCTCTTGGCGTAGCTCGCGAGACGCAAATAGCGAACGTTGCACGACTCGATTACAATGTCCCGCGATCTCAGGCAAAATTCGCCCGGCGATTAATCGTCGTTTCTTTGTTAGAATTTCGGGGGAGTTAAACGAAACAATGAACGAGGCGTGGTCGAAAGGCAGAAAAGAGGAGTCACCTGATTTGCCGACTCTGGGGCCGCCGAGGACGACCACCTTGATCCTGTTTACGTTTGTCATCAGCTGCGTGGGCCAAGTGTCATTCGGGCTGGGCTGGCATCACACATCGCCTCCGCGGCGGACGCACCAATTACATCACTTTGCACTTTACCGCTGCGCTCACATCCTGGCCCGCGGCAGGACACTGACCACTCGCGCGCACAATCCGATGTACCTCTCGGGCACACACGCGACAATCGCGAGCGACGCACTCGCGGAATTAATTGCCGTGGCGTCAATTATCTGCTCGAGTCGCCACTGTTCAATTCCGCGGCGGTGTAATCACCGATCGCTAATTAATCTCCGTTGAATTCTCTCCCGTTTCCGTGAAAAGAGCGAAGGAGAGAACGGACGAGTCTCGTTCGGCTGTTTGAGGATTATGTAGATCGAGTGGGAATCGATAATTACATCGCAGTGTCGAGGCACAAAGCTGTTATCTCGAAAAGAAACAGCGGGAGTCCGCTCTCGTTCCTCGATCCCCGATCAGGTATGTTTGATCGACGGTTATCTATTAATCATCGGCCGAAGTCGTCGCTGCTCAGGCACGGAGCTATTAACGGCAGCGTTAATTAGAGCCTTCGCCGCCAATTCCCGGCGACCGCGAGGGAGCCGTGGCCGATCGATTGCGTCCTTCTCCACCTGGCGAACGAACGTAACCGCGATTACGAGATTCCGCCTGGCGCGTACGACTCTTCCCTCGCGCGCGAGATCCTTAACGGCGCGTTGAGTAACGCGGGCCTCCTTTTCCGGCGACGATCTTGCGCAATCTCGATTCACGTCGAAGCTCCGAATCGAGCGAGCGCGCACTCGAGCTCCTTTCCCCGAGGCGGCTGCCCCGCGACTATCAACAATGCCAACCGCGCGTCCTTCGACACCGAGAATCACGACCCCCCTCGGCGGGCGCGACTGTTTATTATCGTCCAACGGCCGTTCGCTATCTTATCGCGACTTGCCGGTATTTCGAAAATGACGAGTCCCGCGCGTCACGTAGCCTCACTCGTTTCCCTCTCGTTGCCTCTCTCTCTCCACCGCGCCGGCGAGACTTGAAAGCTCGAAGAGCGCTCTCGTCCTCGAAGATCTTCGCGCTCGACTCTTGTCCAACCATCCGGTGACCGGTTTAATTGTGTAGCTCTCAATCGGTTGCTAACCGTTCTCTTCGCTTATCACTGCCGAACGACTAACGTTTATTTTTTACTAGCGGAAGCCGAGGATTTCAGTTGATCCCGCAACTGTCAACTCTCTCTTTCGCCTTCTCCGTCTTTTTTCTTCACGGTGAGTGTCAACGCCTCGCTGCTCTGCGCGCTGATTATTAACTATGCCCCAGCTTCTCTTTATCGCACGGGAACGTGAAGAAAGTCCCGCCTCGGTTTCTTGCAAATTCCCGCGTTCCTCCTCCCGTCACGCCGGACATCGAACTCGATAGCTCGATTCGGAATTACGGAGCCGGGGGTCCCCTCTCCTTTTTCACGCCTTCGAGAGCAAGGGTGGCTTCCGAGCCTGCCTCGCTCGTCCCGCGGCGGCCGACGCTGCGCTGCGAATAACAACACAAGCAGCGATTCAAGAAATGCCGTCTCTCTGGTTCCATTTATAACGGGTCGTCGGCCTTCCTCCGCGTCTTCTAGCTTGGCGCCGCCGACACGTCGGCGATTACGAAAAAAGGACAGGCACGCACGCACGCACGCACGCACTCACGCGCGCACGTACGCACGTACGCACACCGACGCGCGCTCGGTACACGCTCGCGCGCGACGACGACGGCGGACGACCGCGAGAAAAGTAGGATGCATTCATCCCCCGCGGCGACACGCAACGTTTTGTTTTGCTGGTTCTTGCTGAATGCCTAATGAGCTAATTTTAACGTTTCGAGAGAGAAGTGGCGGGTTCAATTTTGAATGAAGGATTAAGTCATTTCGGAGCGCATCCGTCGCCGTGAAAAATACCGGAGCATCTCGACTCTTTTCTCCCCGCCTACGTCGATCGTGCCCTGACTCGAGCGAAAAGCATTCGCGAAAGAAAGCTGTTGTAGAAATAACTCTCCTAAAAAAAAATTGCGCTTTCGCAGCTGAAACACTTTCGATCGGCGAACTTGCCGGATACTCTAATAGCGAATTCGGTTGCTTGCACTAGTGCGTACCGAGTGCACACCAAGGCCAGTTTACAGTCAATTTTTATACTTAACTTTGTCTTAAATGCACGTTCAAAGCGATTTAGCCAGAAAACAATCCGTATGGATGCTATACAGATCGTTTTACTGGCTACGAAATATTTCAAGAATATTTAAGACGCTTCGGAAATATAAGAATTGACTGTAAACAAGCCTTAGTGCGCACTCAGTGCGCACCAGTGCAAGCAACCGAATTCGCTATAAGTTACATTTAGTTAGAATTAAAAATCCGAGCGGTGTAATTCGTAAGGAAAAAAAGAGCCGAAATGCAAATGATATAACGGGAACGCAACCGAGAGAAAAACGGGGAGGTCAATCGAGCCGGCGGGGAAATAATTAATGGGGGGGAAAACAATTAAATGTAACGGCGGAGTAATGGATACGACGGTGGAACACGACAATTGCCGCGACGGAGAAATAATTAATAGCCGGTGCGACGACACGCCTCGCGAAAAATCTCCGAACTTGTCGCGCGCGCGCTGAAAAGTCGCACAAAGTCGTCCCCGCTCGCCTCTCATTCTCGCCTCTGCTGTGCTTGAAACGATACCTAGATTAGATAACGCGTCCCGTATCACGTATTAAACCTCATTATCTTCCAGGGCGCATTGCGACGATATTATTCACGAGAGATTCTTTCAGCGCGGCCTTATCGCGAAAACCGTCGCAGTGTTGGGCAACAAAGCGCGACTGTAAATTGCGACACGTGCTAAATTAAGTCGAATGCGAATAGAATAAAATCGTCGCTCGAGCAACAATTATATTTACTCTGTGATATTATTTTTGACAATAATTTGAGGACTATTTACAATTTACCGATATTTTTCTAGACTATTTAGAAATAAACAAAATATCCTTAATTTAAATCCTTTCCGAACAGTGAGAAAAATTTTCATCGGATAAACCAATCAAATAGAGTTTTCGATGGTTAATTTTTTCGATTACGTTTTCCAATTAAATCATGAAAACATCCAGTTTGTTATGTAATTGAATTATCCGATTATATTTAATCGGACATTTTTCTCAGTGAACTTTAAGTGTATTTGTAAACTGCATAATAATTTTCTTTAATACCCAATAAACTTGTTTCATAATTTTATCTAATACATTCTCTATAATATATGTTAAAAATCCGCGATCGCGTCCGTTACGCGGAAGAGAGCGTGTGTGCTCCAATATTAACCGGGTATCGTGACAGAAGCGCGATTGAAGTGAAATCATGAATGAGCTGTCAGAAGAACCCAAATTTCCACTCCGAAATCCGATAAATGCAGGAACGACTCGCCGAAATACGTGACTATAACGCGTTTAACCGATATAAATGTTTATTAGTCGTATAGCGTATTCCTGAATAAATCGCGATTCAGCGTTTTCGAAGAGACAACAAATATGATGTCATCGATACAATAAGAATCGCTCGGCGCGAAGAAATTTTGAAACCGCACTCTATCACAACATCGTATTCTATTCGTCCCAAACTGCTCTCGTACTCTGAGAAAAATATCCTGGCCTGTCTATCTCGGATAATTCGATTGATATTAATAAACGGATATGTTCGTGTAAATTGTATATCGAATATGAAGAATACGATCGGTTTTTCCGATTTCATTGGATAAATTTCGCCGATTATATCCATAATCGGGAAACTTGACCGAAAAAAATTAACTCTCGGAAACTACACTGAGAAAAATGTCCGATTAAACATAATCGGATAATCCAATTACATAACAACAAATCCGATAAAAAATGTGATCGGTTTTTCAATCAAATTTCATCGGATGTATCCATAATTTAATCGGAAAACGTAATCAGAATAATTAACTAATTAATAGGTTTATTCGGTGAAAATTTTTCTCTGTGCACTTAATCGATTTATCTAATGGAAATTTTTAGGACTAGGCCTCGTTCCATATTTCGTCCTTGAGACAAAACACCGAATGTGAATCGAGTTAACTAATCAACTCCAATTTTCCGCGTGATATCGAGTAATATAGGAGGTTCTGGGAAAAAAAAAGACAGTTACGACCCATTTTGGGGTCCACCGTTAGTAATCGAATTATTTGGATTGTTCGTAATTTTACTCTGGGAAAAATTTTAACCGCTTTTTGTTGTAGTTAAGCAACTTAACATTTCGGTTAGTGCCTCTTAAGTGAAAATTATCTTTGTGTTACTGAACATCGACAGAACTACTTGAGAGAATTGACTAATATTACTTAAAAATCTTGGATACAGATAGAATAGCTAATTGCGATTTTTAGTTACGAGTAAAAGATTAGAGTTGCGAACAATCCAAACAATTCGATTACTAATTGTGGGCCCCAAAATGGGTTGTAACTGTCCTTTATTTTCCAGAGAGGAAAACTGTCAGACGAAACGCGACGGGCGAGAATAATCGCGCGCAATTAACAATTTCGCTCGAATACCTCGCAGCCACGCGATTAGGCCTCTGTCCTCGTCCTTATCTACCTACTTAAATTTCGGCATGTGTCACAAATGTTTCTGCTCTCGTCGGCCGCGCGAGTGGGAAATCGGTTCGCTGCTCGCGATAGAGGAACGTAATCGGAAACCGCGGTATCAGTTTCCCTGCACGTAGCAAGTCGACGTGTAAATACTAGACGCCGCAGATGCGCCACTTGTTTATTTAACCGGATCGATTCCCTCCGGAGAATTAATTGCGCCTTGTCAGGATGCCACTTTCGCGCGTCTTCCGAAAATTCTGTCAATCAGCTCGAAAATCAACGACGATAAATTAACACTTGTGCCCAACCAAATTGTACCCATCAGTTTTCTCTTACAGCGACAATTGAAAAGAAAAATCGACGGGGGCGCGGCGTGAATTAATCAACGCTGGAAGAATCGATATTCGTGTCGAAATGTTCGTGCAAATTCAATTAACGCGTCCGAGGTTTCTGTATAAATTAATTGTATCGATTAACAGCGACCGCGCGAGTCGCGTTTAATCGCGTCGAGGAAGGCCGATGGATTAAATAATACATTTCTCCACTGAGCGTTTCACCAAGATACTCGAGCGAATCGCCACGCCAGCATATCCGACATCAATTAAGTCATGGTTACGCGCGTTAATAAGGAAATTAACTTTTGTAATTGACTTCGGGGATCGATCGGTGACCTTTAAGCCCTGACAAAGGCGAGCCGAAGTCTCTCGGTGAATCTCTCTCTCTCTCTCTCTCCCTCTAAACGGAATAATTACCTGCTATCTGCACGATTGCACTCGCACAGTTACGCCGGGGAGCTTAGCAGTTCGAATTCAGCGGTCAAAAATCGATCGAGGCAATCTGTGCACGTCGGTAAACCGGCGATAAACGTTTGTAAACCCGAGCACCGAACTCCCCTCGACGCATCGAGCGGCGCACTCCGCGATTATTTCAGGATCACGTCTCGACACTCGTGTGTGTCCACACAGCTCCGGCGATCGCGCCGCGCGAGAGCGATGCTCGCCGAGGAACGCGCGGTTATCGGAGCACGTAATAGATAAGAGCGTCGGGTCCAACAAGTCCCAATTTTCCGGGGGACCATCGGGCGATGTCCGTTGGCGAATTTCGGACGGACGCGCGCCGGCCGTGGGCACTGACTTGCTGGAGAACACGAACGCGCGCGCACGAGAGAGCGAGTGAGAGCGAGAGGGTAAAACACGCGGCACACCTCGCAGCACTCTCCACTCAGCGAGCGCTCGCCGGCGAATGCGCGGCGCTCGCGGCCGCCTCGTCTAATATGCACTTGGCTGCGCTCGCTCACCGGGACCGGCACGGCGGCGGCGGCGGCGGCGGCTGCGGCGGCGGCGGCGACCCGATGATCACGACGGCGACGACGACGACCACGACGACGACTGACTGCACGCCTCTCTTTCATTCGCCGCGTTCGCTGGCTGCGCTTCGCGTTGCGTCGCGTCGCGTTACGATGAGGTTGCGAGCCGACTGCCGTGTTAACAAGCAAGCGTACGTCTCTGCGAGCGCGTGTCTGCGAGAGGAGGAGGTCGGAAAAAGAGAGGAGAGCACACACCACTCTCACGCTGCGAGAAGCGACCCCGACGAAGGTGGAAACGCGAGTTTATCCTCGTTAGACGCCGTTGCGCGGGGCTGCACCGTTCGCCGCGCGGCCGTTCCTCGGATTGCGATGCGAATGGATATACTTATAGCGAATTCGGTTGATTGCACTAGTGCGCACTTAGTGCACACTAACGCTTGCTTATAGTCAGTTCTTACAGTTAACTCTGTCTTAAATACATGTTCACAGAGTATTTAGTCAAAAAATGATCCGTGTAAACGTTGCACAGACCATTTTTCTGGATAAGAAATATTGCAAGAGGTGTTTAAGATGATCTTTAAATATAAGAATTGACTGGAAACAACGCTTAGTGTGCACTAAATGCGCGCACTAGTGCAACCAATCGAATTCGCTATTAGTTTTGCAGGCTGCGGGATTTCGGAGACGAAATATTCACTCGAATAAGTTATGGGTTAGGTAACCTATAATTTATTCGAGTGAATAGACTTCTTGTTAAGCTCCTAAACAATTAATTTCAATGATACCATGCTGTTGTTTGACTTAATCTGAATAGTGGGACGCTGTCGGTCTGTACACAAAAGCCACATAATTTGTATATTACACAAATGGTGCCAACAAAAGGTGCCAAAAGTGCAGAATCACGAATCAGACTAGCAATTGTCGACGAGGATTGGATTGGCGATTGTCTTCTAGCCAATGAGAGCGAAGCAGCCAGCCATTTAATCGACTCTCATTGGCTGCAGGACAATCGTCAATCGCCGATCCCAATCCAATCCGAGTCGGCTAGTCTGATTCGGTCTTTACGTCTTACGACGGAAATCGTGAGCGGTTACGACCATGGTATAAAGATACAAGGTGAAACGTTGCGCATGTAACCAATTTTTTGGGGCAAACTGTTCGTTGGTTCTTCCTGCATTCAACCGCAATGATTTGCAGTCTGAAGGTTGGTGCAAATTTCTCATTGGTCAAATTCGGCAGTTTGGGCCACTTCGGGTTGGTTGACACTGCGCACCCACCAGATTGCTTCACCTTGTGCCTTTACACCATGGTTACGACAAACTTTCTCGTGGAAATTTATCAGGTGTTACCGATCGTTACGAAGGAAGGTCCGAGTCGCGCGGGAGAAATCAACAACTCGCGGTATCCGTGGTAACTCGACGAGTCGCAGGCGCTCAAAGGGGCGCGTCAGCGGGGGACAACCGTCAGGGTCGTGAGATCGGAGTAGCAATTGGAGGTGATTGGCGTGCGCGCTCTCGGAGGATCCGACAAATCCGGTTCGATCTCCGCTCGATCGCCGCCGCTCCGCATTACTCCGCGACCGTCGTCTCCGTCGGAAATACGTGGGGAGCGCAGGAACGAAGGGGGGTAACCTGCGCGCACAATTCGCGGTGTAAATTCTAGGATCTCGCCTCCCCCCCTCGCGCATTCGTTATCATGGGCAACGAGGAGGTGGATGTAATCAGCGTCGCGGAGAGACCCGAGAAAAAGACTCTGCTCGAGAGGTACAACATACCGGTGGAGCACATCTCGTACGAATTCATATCGCGGTGCACCAACGGGAAAACACTGGAGCGAATCGTTCTCATCCTGCGGTGAGTTCCTCACGTAGACGTCGGAACTCGGAACGGGCGAGGAACGGCGAGTTCCCTCGCGTTGACGCTAATTGATTGATCGTCGATATTTTATCTTGCGTTCCCTGACGTTTTAAAAATTAAAAAAAAGGGGGGAGGGGGTTCTCGACGTCTGCCAATCAGGTTTGCAAGACCGGCCTTCCGCGGGACCCATCTCTTCATTGCGAAATGTTATTAATTCCGTCTTGACGCTTCCTATTTTGCGTTACCTCTCTCGGCTAATCCTCGGAACATTATGATAATTACAGTACGTGCAATTTTTAATCCCCCCTCCCCTCCCGCGCTTAAGCGAGATTTGCAGCCCTACTGCTTAAAACGTCATTAAACCCGTTATTTTCCGGCACGTTTATTAACGATTCGTCATAAACATCGCCGCATGCGGTTTTAATACCAGTTCTGGGGAAGAGGGAGAGTATCCAGATTTGACGAGGCACGCGGAGGAGTGTCTCGCTAGGATTAAACCGACGAGCGCCGTTCTGAGGAAGGCGGAGCCCGTGTTGCGGCGAAATATGTTAAACGCGGACGAACGGCAGGAAATCGACGACGACATCGGCAATTGGACGTGCGAGATGCAATCTCGCGAGAAGGATTTAGACGAGGGAAAAGCCGTCCTTGCCAACGAGCCCCGTCCGCAGCCGGAAATACGGAAGATTAAGACGAATACCGCGAAAGTATGTATGTCACTAGAATTATCAAAGTACAGAGATATGCGTTTTGTTAAAATACTAGCGTCTCCCGCTTCGAAATTGAGGTAGTTTGAAAATTATTAAGGTAAAAGTACCGATTGCCGGACATTTACATACATGCATATTTATCCAGGGTTGGCAAAATTACACATTTTTTTGGATAAAGTCCGTGCCAGTCATAAAAACCGGTATTTTCCGGAAAAAAACAGCAAAAACTGGTCTTCTCTATTAAAAACGATGAGATAAGTCGAAAACTTTTTAGAAAGCACTGCAAAAAAGTATTGCTTCTCACACAAACTAAAAATTAATATAAAATTTTGTATCTCCGAAGTTCTCGTTTAAAAAATATGTATTAATTCCAATAAAACAATTTTCTTTAATTAAGAAACTTATTACATTAGTTCCTTTTTAAAAAAGTAATTAATATCTATAATTTAGTGTTTCAAACAAAATCTTTTTTCATATAAAGACTCTAAAAATGACTAATATTTTTAATTACTATATAAATATATTTTAATTAAGTATTGGTTATTTTTATAATTTTTGCCAATTTATTCCATTGGATAAAGTCCGGGAAAGTAAAAACTGGAATTTACCATGGTTTTTTCTACCCCCTGGATTTTTTCAGCCAACCCTGTATTTATCGTTATTGATCTCAAATGGTAGTTTATTATAATATCAAAATTTTTTATCAAAATCTTTACATATTTAAAAATATTTATGTACAGTAAGATATTTGAAATATTAGATATTATTAAAATTACGTCCAATAAAAGATATTACGCGATTAAAATATATTTTGACAACGTTCTTAAAATTTTCTTGAGAAAACTGTCTTTCTTGTTGAAATAATTTTTAGTGTTACTTTAATATTCTCGCTTTATAAACAACGTTTTATTTGAGTAAAAAGGATATAGATTATTATAAAATGCTTTTAATTTTTCATGTGCATGCAGATATTAGTTCAATTGTTTTTAAATTTGTATCAGTAGTAACATAATTTAAACACTTCCCACATTTTTTATGCGTCAATAATAAGCTTTTACATTTTCATTTTTCCATGGGTTACACAATCAGATTATTAGAAACCATGAACATTTATGAAAATCATACTAGCATTGTTACATGTCCGGCTATTGAAATAATTATTACCTTAATATCGTTGAAATTCGTATTTTATGACAATATCACACGTATTTTTGCGTTAAATTACTTTATCAATTAACGCTGCGCAAGAAAGTGACGGTGTGTAATTCGCGCGTCCTGTTTTAAGGACAAAAAGACGAGGCTCAACGAGAAGAAGCGTGATAAGCCCAGACGAATTGCCTCGTGCGACTATGCATCTTGGGATAAATACGACGTCGACACGGAGATAAACAGGATAGACCTGCGGGATGAGCAGCGACAGGCCGAAATGAAGGAAATCCAGGAACAGCAAAAGGAGCGGGATAAGATGAATGAGATGGCGCATAAAATGACAGTCGATAAACGTACGCCCGTAAAGTAACGTCTTTTAAAGCGATCACGCCGGTTAATTGAGAGAGCGAAGAGCTGTCAAACGGACTGTCAATTACTAGGTGTCTCAGATAATCCGTTCATTTCGCTTCCCTCGTTAATTCTAATAGAATTTGCAATCTCGGTTCGCCATTAATTTTAATCGGAATTTAATGTCCCGTCTCTCGAATTGGACTAAGTCTCTTAATCTGCCATTAGTTTCATTAACCGGAACGGAAATTAACGTGATGGCGGAGCAAGAGAGAGAAAAGGGGAACGAAGCCTTCCGAGCGGCTGATTACGAGGAGGCTCTTCGGCATTACAACGCCAGCATCGACGCAGACTCGAATCTAAATGCCTACAATAATCGTGCTATGACCTGTAAGCAAACTCACTCTTTCGCAACTTTATCTTGATTACGGCGAATGAATAATGGCGCGATTATGCGATGAAACAGCTAGAGAGCTTTTGTACTTTTTGTTCCGGCGAAATGAAATTCCTCGCAAATTGTTAGACGATAAGGAGATAAATTGAAACATTGAAGATCGTATTACTACTAGCAGTAATGTGCTTTTTCACTTCAAAGCTTATCAAAGTATCGCACGGAGAGACCGATATGGTTACCACATGTCTAATTAGGGTTGGCACTACCCCAATAAATAGTAATATTTGGGACAGCTATATCTGTAGTTGTCATACCCACATTGGCAGGGTTGGATAGTGTCTAGTTAAAAAGATACAAGTTAAGTTAAAAAGTGAAATAATTTTAACTTAATTTAGTTACATTATGGACTGTTAACTTTTAACTGAATTTAGTTACATTTTATCGGTAACTTTTAACCTTTAACCTACCTCTCTCTTAGGCCCGGTTTTTTATTTTGCGGTTGATTGTTAACCAGAGGTTAGTCGACTCTGTCTCTGTTTAAATAATAATATAAAGAAAGACAGAGGGTCGACTAACTTGTGGTTAACAATTAACCAGAAGTTTGTCGATTCCGCACCCTTTTCTATGTCATTATCTGAGAAGAGACAGAGAGTCGACTAACCTCTGGTTAACAATTGACCAGAAAATGAAAAACCGGGCCTTAAAATTAGCCTTGCCATAAACAGAGGCGTCGCGAGATGCCGCGCGTCTGCCTATATTGGCAGTCTCTGTGTTTCAAAATTCACTGCCAGTTCTAAAGTCTACTTGCGTATGTGCACCGTAGATCTTCAGCGCTGGTAACGAATTGTTGGAACACAACCATTATATGGGGTTTTGATTCCCGAACTCACGTGAAATTGTTTGCATATGAAATGGACCATATTCCGCGTAGTGTGAGTGATTGTCCAAACGCTAGTCGCGAAATGCAATTTACGCGATCGTAAGTCTCTGAGATTTTATGTAAAAGTAAAACATTTAACTTTTAACTTCTTAATTTTTGCTATTATTAACTTAACTTTTAATTCGATTAATTGTATTACGGATTGACTTGTATCTTAACCAACAATGAGTTAAATTTTCACAGCTATTGACTAACTTAACTTATTGTTAGTTAAAAAAAAGAACTTACCCAGCCCTGCACATTGGTATGATAAGTAGTGGAGGCAACTATATGCGTTTTGTGCAGCGAACTTGGTGAATGTTGCAACGCAAAACAATGTAGATGCCCCTATTGTTTATACGGCAACATTTTAATTTTAGTTATTTTTGCCTTAGCCGGTCTTTCCGCGCACTTACTTTTCCGCGTTGCATAATGAGTTTCCGTTGAACCAATGTGTCATTGCGTTCAGTTATAAAGCTGCAGCGTTACGAGGACTCGCTTAACGACTGCAACACGGTGCTCGCTATGGATTACAGAAATATCAAAGCGCTCCTTCGCCGAGCGTTGTCCCTGGAGCATCTCGAAAAGCCGCACGAGGTACAAAAATTAACACACGTAACGTTCGTATTGGTTTGCAATTCGTATTTAGCGTCTAAGTAAATCTCTGTTGAATAAATATCGAGTCAATCACTGATTTTGCATTAATAAATATGAAAGTGTAATAAACATTACGAAAGATTGAAGCAAAACGTTTGACGGGAACTGCAATTCCTTTGGGATTCTCGCAAGTTTCGTAATACTCGCGTATAAATAACCGATGTGTTATTGTACATAGGCCTTAGCAGATTACGAAGCCGTTTTAAAATTGGAGCCAACGAACAAAGTGGCAATATCCGGCGTGAGCAAGCTGAGAAAACCGCGTGACTCGAAGAAAATAAGGTAACAAGTACATGCGATCCTCAGATCTCCAGTCGTATATAATTTTTATCGAATTGGTTAATTTCGGAGCCTCGAGACACTTGGGGCCCGGTTTTACCAACGTCGCTTAATTTTCATCTTACAATTAGTTTAATTCATCGTTTGTCACTTTCTAAGGCAGACGTGGCCAACCTACGACCCGCGACATTTTGACCAAAAAATTAAAGAAAAACTATAAAACAAGTTTTATTAATGTTTAAATTTAATATTGAAACAGCTTTGGTATCACTTATAAAAAATAAGAAACGTTAACATTTTCAGATCAACAGTCAGTATTTTCTTGACCATATCTGGCATTTTTAATAATACAGAAAATTTAATAATACATAAATTTTCTGTATTATTAAAAATGCCAGATATGGTCAAGAAAACACTGACGTTGTTAATTACTGCTGGCGACATTGAGAATATTCTTATTAGTTGACTTTTAAGACTGTCTTGGCCCGCGGAAAGTTTGAAAATTTTGAATGTGGCTCGCGAGCCGAAAAAGATTGGCCTGTTCTAAGGAAAGCGACAAAGGATGAATTAAGCTGACAATAAGCTTCAAGTTAAGCAACGTTGATGAAACCGGGTCTTATTCCAGCACATTTGCAACCGCGATCAGAATAACAATAATTATTATAATAATAACAATTTATATAAAGATAAGATATTACTGTCATTAAATTCCCGGCTACGCAGGATGAAGATCGAGGAAAATATGAACGACGACAAAGACAAGGGCGAGCGTATAAAGACTCGGGAAGCTGCGGGAGCGGGTAGCATCGAGCGTCCGAAACTGCGTGTTAACAACGATATATGTTATTGCGACAGAGCGCCGGGCTCGTCGCGAAGTATTGCAACGAAGCCGCACTTGAAGGCGAGTTACTGCGTGGAAAGCGAGAGCAACAAAGCAACAGCGGCGACGCCGGCGAATAAAAGCAACGAGAAAGCAACGCGCGACTCATCGAGCGGCGATAAATTATCACCTGTTGCGCGGGATTTCGGCGCCAGAAATAAAACGACGAGATCGCGAGGCGCCGCCGGCACCGACGATATTTTCGCGATTTCGCGCGAGTCATTTCCCGGGCTGCGTGTCGCGAGGGGCGGCAGGCTGGAAAAGTCTATTTTTTCGTGCGTGTCGTCGCCTGTCGCGGCTAAAACGAAGCCGTCCACGGTTATCATCGAGGAGCTTCCGAGCGACGAGGCGTGCGAGAAGAAGGCGGAAACGAGGAAGGACTTGGCGAGAGGAAAAGGTGCATCGACAAAGAAATCATGCGCGAATAACAATAAGGAATCGATCTCTCTCGAAAAAGAGAGCACGGCTAAAGTGAGCTTGACGCCCAGCGGGAGTCAGGCAGCTGACGAGTGTGAGAGATCGAGGAAAATTGTCGATTCCAGCGAGACAAAGGCGGAAACGAGGAAAAAGGCGATTGGGGAAAAAGATACGTCGCTAAGCGAACGATCGAACGTAGGCAAGAATAAAAAGTTAATTTCTCTCGAAAAGGAAGGCAAGACTAAAGCGGACACATCGGGCAAAACTACCACTAGTCGAAAGGACAGCAAATTGGAAATGGATCTTCGGGTATGATTTCAGAATCACGACATATAATTTATGTCCTTTCCTCGCTTTGCGTTTGAAAATCCTCGAACGGTTTTTGTCAAAGTAATCGCAATTATTACAAATAATAAAAAGTGTGAAGTGGAAAAGAGAATTACAGAAGGTACTTCAATTTGTTTCAGAAGTTAGACAACGTCGAGTCTCCCTACGAATTTCTACGTCTGTGGCAGTCCATGAAGGACGACGTTGATCTGGAGCTGCCCGCGAAACTTTTGCGACGCATAGCACACGAGGATATGAATAAAAGTGAGTCTTGCAAAGCAATAATTGATATCAGCGCCGAAATATTCGCGATCGCGAGTTCGCTTTGTTCGACAGCCACTGATAGCCGAATAAAACGAATTCAGGCCTCTTCAATGTTACGTAAAACGAAATAATTGTCAAACTATTTTTAACAAAATCATATTTTACAAGAGCAAAGCAATTTATAATTCCATAATTCAAAATTCGCGTTGTAAATGTCTTAGAAACGGGCTTCTATTCATAACTTCCTATGCCGTGTGTCTTGGGTACGTTCGCGGAGCTCGCTGAAAACGTCATCCATCTTTCTCTGAGGCACAATGAGCAACAAGGATAGAATGACGCTTTCAACGCTAAATAGCACTGATGGTGAGCTCCACGAACACTTTGACACTCTAATTTTTCAAATGTTTCGCCTTACATGACATGAAAGTCACAACTTCAATCTGAAACAACGTCAGTGTTGTCTTGACCATATATCTGGCATTTTTAATAGCACAGAACATTTACTGCGAAAAACATTACCTCAGCCAGGGTTTGAACCTGGACCTCCCTACACTCTAGGCGGGCGTCTCGCCAATTTGACCACTGAGGCAGGTCCAGGTTGAAACCCTGGCTGAGGCAATGTTTTTCGCAATAAATTTTCCGTGTTATTAAAAACGCCAGATACGGCCAAGAAAACACCGGCGTCGTTAATTGCTGCTGGCGACACTGAAGAGTGTTCCTTGTTCAATCTTAAATCTGAGCGAATCTCACTAATCTCAGAGCGTACAAAAGCGCAGTGGTCAAGCGTCACTCTTCTAATTCGTAGTCATAGGCAACAAGCTGGACGCGGCGATGTTCAGTCTCATTCTGCGTTGCTTGGACCAGCAATTCTGCACGCCGCAGGACACGGGGTTGCTCGCGAGCCTGCTGCACTCTCTGAGCCGACTGAGTCGGTTTTCCATCGTCGTCATGTTCATGGATCCCACGGACAAGAGAGGTAAGAACAGCGAAGCCACGCGACTCGTACAATTGCCGTGAATTGTGATGAAATCGCAGAGCAACTCTCACTCTCGAGAATCCACCTGACTCGGTTCCTACAATTTCGATCATGTTCCGATTAACTTAATTGACGACTGACCTGGCCGTCAGAATTGCTTGGACCAAAATCTCCGATTGTGCAATTCAAGATCTCTGAATTTTTATCTTGAATAACGCGAAATTAACGATTCTATGTCCGTTAATTAAAATCGATATCACTCGATAAATTGTCGATTAAATTAATCACAGTCTGGCTGAGGTCTTCAACATTCCAAGTATTCTCACAATTTTAAACATTCAAATAGACATTGTAGAGGAAAGTACTCTATTATGAGATAGGATTCTAATGTAGGACTCGAATGAGATAGTAGGTTTTCAACGTCCAAATTCAATCGCAAATCTTTTTTCGCGATCCAACGATCAATTCTCCACTAAACAGATTTCACTCCAAGGGCAATAAATTCGTGGCGGCACCAACGGATGATGCCTATTAATTTAGCAGAAACTGTCTCGTAATCGGTGACTTTCCTCTGTATTTAGATACGAAATACCGCTTAAATACTGTCGCGTAAGCTTCTAAATAGATACAGATCGCGTCTGTAACTGTAAATTCATACCTATCGCACGATCATCTGCGGAGACTCGCTCTCGTGTTGCAGCCTTGGAAAATATATTTCGCTTCCTGGAAAGGGAGGACTCGCCCGAGGTCCCGCAGTTACGCCGGATTTACGTTACCTGAAGACCGCGTCACCGCCACGTCCAGCGCGCACGTTAACGCATACGTTAAGCTATTTGATAAGAGACAAAGGCGGCGCACGCAAATGCGCGCGTGGAGCACTCACCGTGAGCCGAGCGGGTGCGCGTCGCGGGCGAAGAGCGGCGACTTCCGCCGTCGCGGCGACCATCGGTGCGCCCGGACGAATCGATCCCCTCGGCGAGCAGGAAACCACGACCGGCGGCTCAAGCAGCTCCGAGACGGCCGTCCGCGTCGCCAGTATTCCCGAAACCGGCGTGAAAATCTCAATTGTGGACGCGCGACGGTCGCGGGACGACGCCAAGATGGCGCGGGCGCGAGCGCGCCGGGAAACGGCGCGGCCGTTGCCGTCCGCCGTCGTTGCGCCCGGCTTCTTCCTCGTGTACCCGGCACCCGCTTGAAATCGGGAACGATACCGGCGGCCGTCGACAGCCGCCCGCGTGCGGAATCCGCCCCGCGACGGGCGGACGTGGCGCGGAAACGGAAACCCGGCACTCCCGCTCGACGCGAAGTAACCGACGCTCGCGAGTGTCACGTGACGCCGCGTAGAGTCGCGGCCGTCGCGGCGATCGCGCGGGTACTTCGCGGGCGCGGGTACTTCGCGGGCGCGGGAAAAAGAGCGGTGTTTCCTTCAAACGTGGTATCGTTGAGGGACTCGCTGATGTACCGTCGATATTAAGCGGATTGCGACCCAGACTGCCGGACCCTCGCTCGACATTCGGCGATTCCGCGAGAAGCAACGCCGAGGCGCAAAATTTGAAACGTGTAACGCGTCCAACTTCACTTCGCCGTTTCTCGCCGCGCGGGAAACTCGTCTCGGGCTAATCTTACAGTTTATCGTACAATCGTTTCTTTCAAGCGTGTTGATTGGCTGTAGAATAGAAAAGCTCTCTCGAGTTAACGAGTCGCGATTATTAGACGTAATTTAGTATGCCGGCGTTTGTATACGTGTAACAGATTGAATTGCAATGGTTTCAACGAGTGTGATTACGTTAATAATGAATGTTTCAGATCGTTACCTTCAAATATGATAGACCGAGTAAAGAGAGAGAGATAGAGAGGGAGAGAAAACGAATGCGGAGAAAGAGCAAACGAAAAAGTGCTTTGTTACGTTACTACATTTAATTAAAAACATTTCGTAATAAGGGATAAATTTGCAATTATATATACGGAATTTATGTTACGTTAAGGGTCGGTTGTTCCAACCTCTTGGTAAGTTAACTAATAGTTAAAATCATATGTGTGTCTTTGTTCTTCCTTCAAATTAGATACAACGATAGACTAATTTTACGACTAGTTAACTTACCAGGAGGTTGGAAAAACCGGCCGTAAGTATAGCGTTAAAAAAAAAGAAAAAAAAGAATTGGAGGAACTGGGATTTGAACCCAGGACTTTCAGCATGCGAAGCAGACACTCTACCACTGAGTTACACCCCCATTTAACGTATAATCCGTGCTTAAACGGAAAGACATGGAACGCGCCATTTTTTTCCAAGTCGTCCTTCGTTAATTACGCAAGATCAAAATGATAAATCATACAATAGTACGATACGTATATTGTAAGATGCTGTTTTAATAGCCGCTCTCTGCAGGCACAATACGAAATGGTTCTTATTCAGTCTCCTATTTAGTCGCATACATAAATAAAAATTATCAGTTTCATATAAAGCTTGAATGTAGGATGTTATACTACTATCGTTTCGACGTTTTTACGGTACATGCTAATTACATTTCCATTAGCGATGTATTGTTCTTCATATCGCGAACCAAACGCAATAGAAAATAATGACAAATTTTAACGTTATTTACCCGGACGATCTTCAATACGAATTTTGTTAATTTCCCCGCGGTACCGCGAACTTTTAATGCTATTCAGCGACATCCTCGTATCAAAGTTGCACCTTCTACACTTCATGTTTCCTCCGTACACCTTTGCGAGAATATGGCCGGTGTTCAAGTAAGTTTTCAAGATGCTAATACGATTCACTCACACTCGGAAATAAATGTATTTTTTTTACATAACTCATATATGTAATCGTTTGTATTTTGTATGAAGACATTTCCCATACAGCACGCGTGTCTAAAAGACATCTTTAAGTCGTCTTTCAGATATGTTAGAAGTGCATTTGAAAAGGTTCGCGAGTCATTCGTTCATCTGTAATTAATTAGTAATTTTTCCACCCGACCAGGTGGTTTTAGCCGGAATAGATAAATTAAATAAAGTTTTTATAGGTAATAGTTTGCACTTTGTATGAGCCATTCTACAATTGCGTAAACGTGGTTGTTAGCGGTTGTAAAACACAGTTTTAAACTAGCATTTCCAATTGTAAAGCCTGTTGAAAAAGGTGGCTAAACTTCATCTTTCACGACTCAACGACGTAGGACGTAAAAGCTAACCAATCATTCACTTCAATTACGACGTATCTCACTCTATTGTATATTACTTTGATGTACAACACTTACTACTACTTCTACTCCTACAACCCTACAACTACGTTTACGCAATTGTAGAATGGCCTTTACAAAATACCCGCGTGCAACCTCAGATGGGTAGGCATTAACGACGCCGGGTGTTCGATTTAATTCGCGCGTACTCATATGTAATAAATAAACGAATTTTCCACCAAATATAAAAAGGAATCATTCACATCAAATTTCTCGTAATCAATCTCGTATGAAATGTGTACTTACGTTTCGTGACATGACTGACCAGATCTCGTGTGACGATTAATGGGATTTCGTGGCACTTTGTGTAACACCCCACAATTAATCACACGCGACAGGAAAGGAAACACGAAAAACGTACGATCGCACGAAGTTACTATTTGCACTCGGTATTCCTTGTGAATTTATCCGATGGTACGAATTTTAACCAACAGAAATCGCCGACGTGTAACTTTCAACTATCGATGCGACGATATCTGTCTCGCCAAGCATCGATGGCAAATCGCGACGTGATTGACCAGATCTCGAGTGACGATTAATGGGATTTCATAGCACTTTGTGTAACGCCTCACAATTAATCACAAAAAATCACACGCGACAGGAAAGGAAACACAAAAAACGTACGATCGCACGAAGTTACTATGTGCACTCGGTATTCCGTGCGAATTTATCCGATGGTACGAATTTTAACCAACAGAAATCGCCGACGTGTAACTTTAAGGCCCGGTCTACAATGAGTCGTTAGTCGTTAGTCAGACGTCGCAACTATATGTTGATCCTTTTCCTTTCTGGGTGGAAGAAAAAGGACCGACATATAGTTCCGACTTCTGACTAACGACTAACGACTCATTGTAGACCGGGCCTAAACTATCGATGCGACGATATCTGCCTCGCCAATTAACCGAGCATCGATGGCAAATCGCGAGGATTCAGCGATCACGCGACGACATCGATCGCCGAATATTAAGAAGCGAGCGATCGCGGTTTCTTCGCGTACTTGTCGCGAACGCGTATCAAGGAAAAACAATATACGATGTGCGGAGCGACGCGGGCCGCTATCCAACTCATTCAACCGTCGCCACGTGAATGATCCTGCGTACGACGTGACTTTGTTTTGCCGCGCGCCGTAGACCGAGCGCGGATTCCAGGAAATGAGTAGCGTTGTAAACAACTCGGTCGAAAACTGAGCGCCGGCCGCTCGTTCCGAGAAATGACGTAGCGCCGTAAAAACATCTCACAATAAGTCGAAGTCTATTGTATGTACCGATCATTCGGTGTCATTCGGCGCGAATCAGTCGAGCGAGGCGGGTGTTCCGCGTGTTTTCGCGTCGCTCGTCGTAACGCGTTTGTGTCCTACGAGAATCTCGATCGTCTTGTACGAGAATTGTGTTAACATTTATCATACGTTTAAGTAATTGTCGCGTTCCGTAATTATATCGTTGATTTCTTCGACGATTTGTCGAGATACCACGCGTACTTTGAAGAGAAAATGCGACAAGAGAATTAAATATACTATAAATTATTACGTCCACGGGCGACAATATCTTTTTTAACAATCGAACTCGGATGAGTCTCTGTCACGCTGTGCTTTAACATTTTTGTCAGTTCAAGTTAAACATTTATCAGATCAAAAGCGCAAAGTAATACACGAATCGTCGGGTAAAATGATAACGGAAAATTATAATATCTCGACTTCTTGCCAAGGAATAATCTCTCTAATAATTAAACGGACACAAGTGCGCGTATAATATAAAGTTTCCATTTTCGTCGCGTTCGGGAGTGCCGTTTAAGCGATCGAACTAAAGACTTTTCGAAGCCCATGTGAAAAAGAAGTATTCTTTAAATTCGAATCGCGCGCGTATAATCCCAAATCGGACCTCTTATATAAATCGCGTTGGTTTTGACGAAAGACTTGTAGGTTTATGACTAATAAGTTGAAACGCGGGTAGGTAGGAAAATGGATAGGACTCTATAATGGAATACGAGCAGGTAGGGATTCGGGTAGGCAGGGACAGGGGGACATAACTTGATAATTGAAAAATTGATAAAATTGTAACTGCAATGTATTACTATCAAGGATAATTATATTTAACTAACAGGAATAATCTTCAAAGTCGCCAGGCATAATTAACAACTTTAAGTTTGTTTTACCGTATCTGGCAATTTTTATGTTCAAGGCTCGCAACGTTTCGACCATGGGTATATCTCATGTGTAACATCGAGATAAATATTGTATAGATATATTTTCAATTTTATAATGTATTTCTTTTATAATATTGTACACATTGTGAAGCAAATTATTTAAAAATAAAGTGACTAGTAAATTAAAAATGTAAAAAATTAAATTGTAAAGAAAAGAGGATCGCCGAGCAAAATCGGCGGGGGTGGTGGAGGCCCTCGTTTTTTTTTCGAATCAAATTTTAGTTCAATTGGATTCACATAGTTTTTAATTTAAATATTTTCTTTTTTGCAATTGAACGATAGATTTGCCTTTACAATTTGATTTTCGTTTGAACATTAATAAAAAAATGTTACACGATAGGCACAGCGACATGTGTAGAATTGTGTAACATTTTTATTAATGGTTTACGTCGTAAGTGTTACGTATATTGTATGCAGATCACATCATATGTAATTGTTTATATGTAATATGTAAATGTTCATATGTAATTCTGTGTCACAAATGAGTATTGTACATATCGTTGTTTATATTATGTTTTTAATTTCACAATCTAACCTACTCCCTCTTTTACATTTTTGTACATATTTCAAATTAAATTGTAAAAACAATTAATTGAATGGTAAAAATGTAAAAACACAATTATTACAGAGAAAGAAAAAAAAAGAGGACCGCCGAGAAGAATTCGGCGGGGGTGGTGGAGGGCCTCTGCAAGGTCTGTTCTCCCATCGGACAACATTTCAATTTGAATCTAACAATAAGAGAAAGGTAGTATTTCCCGCCACGATTTCCCCTCCCACCGGCCCAATCCGCAGCCTCCAATAGGACGAAAGAAAAGAGCGGGCGAGCAGAGCTGCCAACGACGCGCGCGCCTTTCGCAGATACGAATCCGCTCTGAAGGCGGCCGCGGTTGATTTGGCCGCACTGTTCACGCCGACATGATCCGCGCCCCGCGGACATGTATTATTGATGCGCTAACCTATGCGACGACGGGACGACAACGCTCGACGACCCGTCGCGAGGCATCCCGCAGATCTACCGGTGTAACCGCGCGTGTCGCGCCCGGCCGGCGATAAACCGCGAGCGTCGAGTGACCGCGCGACCGCCGTCGCGCCGCGCCGAATTGCGCCGCACCGCGCGAACCCGCTCGACGACGACGACGACGACGCTGCCGCTGCTGCTGCTGTTCAGCGACCGACGACGTCGCGCCGCAACGAGCGTCTCCCCGCGCGCAGCTGTCATTCACTGTCATCTCGCGTCGCCCGACGCGGACGTTTCGGTCCGGAGTGCGCGCGAGAAACAGCCCCGCGGGCCGCGGCGGTCGTCTCTCTCTCTCCCGTGCATGCTGCCCGCGCGCGCCTCACGTTCCCGACCTACCGCCGACCGCTCTGCGTTCTTCGACCCGGCCTCATCCCGCTGCTCGAACGTGAGTTGCGTCGCCGGAGCGCGGTTTACGCGAGTGGTCCCCGGCGGTTTATCGAAATACGTGTTATGCGTCGTCTACATTGCGCGCGGTGAGCCCGCGGTAAGGAAATCAATCAATTTTATTTCTTACTCGTACTCCGAGCTCGTGCGTTTACGCTCGGCGAGTCTGAACGCCATCGGCCAGTGTTAGGGATATTTAAAGAGGCTTGTATTTTAGCTTCCTCGCGGCAAAAGCTAAAGGCTACGGTTCTTTCTTTACTCCTTACACCAGGCTTACTCCACGCATTGAGGACCGTCTACATTGGAAGTAAGAAAACCATAACCTTCACTTATCAGTGTAAAAGCTGGTGTACAGGCGTAATTTTTTAAAATATTTATAGCACTGGTCGAACCGCGCTCCAATTCGCCGAGAAGTAAGCGTCGGAGCTGAAGTAGGAGCAAGAAACGGGAGTGATTCATTTCTTTACTCCTACTCTTACTTACGCCAGGCTTACTTCATCTGCTGTAGACGATCCTTAACGCTACGCATGTACGTTATCAACAGATATGATTGAAATGTTTATGTGGCGTTAGGTAAACAAAAGTAATGCGTCGTCTACAATACGTGAAGTAAGCTTGGAGAGCAAGGAGTAAGAGTGAGCCGTAACTTCTAGCTTTTGGTCTAAGGAAGCTGAAATACGGGCATAATTTTTAAAATATTTGTAACACCGATTGATGGCACTTTGATTCACCGAGAGTAAGCCTAAGAGCTGAAGTAGGAGTAAGAAATAGAATGGATTTATTTCCTTACTCCTACTCCTTACTCCAAGCTTACTCCATGTATTGTAGACGACGCGTAAGTTTGCTCCTGGTCGTCTCCAGCGATTGCTGGCGAATGTTGGAGACGCCAAGAATGGATAACACATTGAACTTGTATGTAGACGACGCGTAAGTTTGCTCCTGGTCGTCTCCAGCGATCGCTGGCGAATGTTGGAGACACCAAGAGCGGATAACACGTTGAACTTGCGGCCTGATTGTTGGTATCGAGTAAAATTCGTTTCACGTTGTTTAGGACGGAACGATTGTCGTTTTCATCTGTAATTGAGTGTAGAGCCAGATTGCGGAAAGAAGTATGACTGAATTTCTTTGCAGAACAGCCAACCGTTGTGATGCACGGATGAAACACGAGTCGCTAGATGGTAGAGCGTGAAAGATTGGGCTGTGCCAGGTCCAACGAAGAGGCTAGTGATTCGAGGGAAGGAACGCGACAGTGTCCACCACGGCTTACGACATGGTTGGATTGGCGGGCGGGGGAAATCACATGTATCCCTCGCCCCCCATGCAACCAAATCCAGAGTGTAAGTTGAATCGCGTTTGAATTGATCGCCATCTCTTATTTGCTTCGGTAATTCACTTATATTTTAGGGAATTCATCTGGTAACTAATAAATCGTCAGTTATTGGAAAAAATTGATTGATTATGGAGATCAATCTTTACAACTTTAATTGCGTCGGCTTTAGTGATTTTGTTTTATATGTTACGCTATTTGGAAGGAGCAGTTTTTAGATGAAATCACTGTATTTTAAGACTTGAAAGAAAGTATAAAGTTTTATGGCCCCGCTAATTCACGTGTCTTATCTTTCATGTGTTTTTTAATGCAGTGAGAGAGATGACTGGAATAGCACCTAGTGCGCCAACCAGCGCCGATGCCTGTTTAAGCATCGTGCACTCGCTGATGTGTCATCGTCAAGGTGGCGAAAGCGAAGGCTTCAGCAAACGAGCTATTGAATCGCTGGTGAAGAAACTCAAAGTAAATCCCATATACATTTCTATATCGCTAACGTTGTAATACATTTCTTTTAAACAAGTGTTTTCAGCTCCGCTAATTACGACTATTTTCTCCTGTCTTGTTGTGTATGTCTGACAGTCTATCGTTGCTCTCGCTTTATTTCACGACAGCTGATGTTCATTTCGGTCGTCGAAAGAGCGTTAAAACTTCGACACCGGAATCGCGAAGATTCGATAACATTCTGGAATGAATATAAAATTGCAACCTATGCGTCAGAGTCCACGCAAGACCACGTCATTCTTGTCATATCGACTGATCTCTTCCGCAAGGTCGTGTCTCGATTTTACACAATTTTCGATTTTTGTGCTTGAACGCTCATTCTGGTCCAGAATGAGTATTTAGGCACAAAAACCAGAAATTTCGTAAAATCGACATACGACCTTGCGGAAGAGATCAGTAGATGTATGTATTCGTGAATCTTGAGTAAATTGTATCAATGAATGCTCGCAAAATGCGTAGCGCTTCCGACATTATTTTCACGCCGTGTTTCATTCTTGCGTTAAATGTACACACGGTCGGTCTTGCGCGCGCGGTTCTACGCTTATACTTGGCGCGAGACACTACTGTGTCTCGTGATAAGATACATCAAGCATATTCAACTCATTATTAGTTGCTAGTAGACAGTATATTTCATGCCATCATGAGTGTCATTGTGTACCAATAATTTTCATTTTTAATTTCTAACGTATTCCATCGATATTCTGTGCGCTCACGTTCGATTCTTCGCCGCGACACGAACGTATACAACTGTGTAAAGGGAGAGAGTGCGCTTATTGTGCATTTTTTAAATACTTATCATTGATTTAACGATTTATCATTGATTTCTCATTACGTCTAAAACGTACAAAGATCAATATGTGACACACGTGTAATTTGATCAACAGGAGAAGCGTGACGAGTTGGACAGCTTGATTACCGCGATAACTACCAATGGCGCACATCCCAGCAAATGCGTCACCATTCAGAGAACTTTAGATGGCAGACTGCAAGTGGCTGGACGCAAGGGTTTCCCTCATGTAATCTACGCTCGCATCTGGAGATGGCCGGACTTGCACAAAAATGAACTGAAGCACGTGAAATACTGCCAGTTTGCTTTTGATCTGAAATGCGATTCCGTATGCGTGAATCCCTATCACTATGAGCGAGTGGTATCACCGGGCATAGGTATGTTACGACTTGTAATTTTGCATTATTTATTTATTTTCAACAGACTCGATATTTGTATTACATGTACATATGTGCACACGATACCTTTTATTTCTTTTTGCGACTTTGAGTTTGCCCCCGTTTTTCTTATTTTCGCTCTTATCATCATGGAAAACGCTCGATTAAGCTTCATTCTATCATTTCTAATCGTTTCTGATTGTAATTATCCAACGAGATGAAAGTAAATTGTGCATCCCGGGGCTAACAAGGAAATACAGACATAACTAGAGAGAAAAAAAAATTATTGATTGTTGTGGTCTTCTTGGTGTCTTGATGGAATGGGTTGGTTTCCCCCGCACAGACCCGTTCTTTTCAGACCTATCCGGCCTGACGTTGCAATCCGGTGTGGGTGTGGGGCCCGGCGGGAGGCTGGTTAAGGACGAGTACACGGTCGGCGGCGGCGGCACGGCTGCCGCGGCAGCCGCCGCCGCCGCGGTCGGATCTGCGATGGACGTCGACGGCGAGATAAATCAGACTATTCAGCACCACCCGCCGGCTCAGCCGACCGCATCGAGCAACGCGCAACAGGCCCAGCAGGGCTTTATGCCGGGCTTACCGCCGCCCAACCCGAGTAAGTTGAATGTGGTAAACTGTACCTTTTCATTTGTGAGGCTTCCACTTAATCGGAAATCGTCAATTGGCTTTACACTTGTAAATCTGTTTGTAATTAATGTCTGATGACTAGATAGTCAGTGGTACACCTGAATCGGTGCAACGTATTAACACGTGGACGCATTTGTCCAAACATAAAGATGTTAACAAGTTAGTAAGCCGGCGAACGGCGAAGGCATGTGACGGTTACGTTCCAGGAAAATTTATGCAGATTGGCCATTCAACTGTGCTAAAAATATACCGTCGAATTTAACGCGCTCGACGCGATTGTTAATTATTAAGATGATCGCTAACGTGCCAGCCGCTTTCGTTTATCGCTGTCGAATGTAGATTTAGTAGGCAAGAATACGCTTCGCAAATTTCTCTCTTTTGTTGCGCGATTACGATTTTTGTTTTGGCTTCATTGTTTTCTTTTCCTTCTGATTGTTCGGCACAGCCAGTACTGAGGGTATGTTTAGCGCCGGTGGTGGCGGCAATAATGGTAATCCTCATGCTAAACTGGACGACAATAATTGCCCCAGGCAAACCTGGATTCCCACGCCTCATCACTCGGCGGGCCGTAACATGCATCATCGTACGTATTTCATTGTACACAGCTATTTATTTAAGAAGCTTTCGATTATATGTCGCTGATTAGCCATCGCTCAATGTTGCCAGTGTGCATTTTTCGTGACTTAGAATCGAATCGGAGTTTCCCAAATTAAATGTAGCGCTTTGCAAAAAAAAAACAGCGAAGTAGTTGTGAAGTAGTTGAGTACGAAAGACGATTTCTGTATTCGTTTCATCGAAAATGTAAGATGCGCCTGAAACAGCGTTTTAGCCATGAATCGAGGTCGCGAATACACACAGAAAGATGGATAGCACATGTGCAAACTGATGTTTCGGGTATCAACACATTTTATTTTTCAATATTTCTAGTCAAAGTGGCAAAATTTCAGTTTTAGAAGAATTCAAGAGTTCTGAAATTGGAGAGCTCATTAGCTCTGCAATATAGCAGAGACTGAGAATCAACTATTAAGAGCATTGAGAATGTCTCTTTGGGAAACGCCGGTTCGCAGCGAACAGTTTTTCAGAGCAACGATAGCGAGGGCCAGGCCGTTGCACTTTTAATACTTTGTGTTGCCTGCATCGTGTATGAATTTTAATTTTGCAGCAGTAGTACATCCAATGAGTCACACCGTAGGTAGCCAGCAACAGTCGCTGAATGCCGCGTCGAGCGGATCGTCCGGCGCGCAGATTCTAAGTCCCGCGCAAGGACAATCGACCGCCGACACGTTCTACAGCACCACTACTCCCCCGCAGGACATCAATCAGCCCCCAACAGTCGACGCGTTAGCGGCTTCTCTGGGTACGTCATATCAATTCTTGGCGCATCTTGTTTCGATTAGGAGCGTTGTTATATTCCTATATAATATTTTTTTGTAGAAATTTTCAAAAGCGCAAGCATTAAGAAATTGTTCATTATATGAATTTATTAATATGGTTTAAATAGGTGAAGGACAGAGTTCTCCTGTGTCGCCTGTTCATCTTCATCATCCGAACGGCTTCCCCGTGGGCACGGCACCATACAATTCCGGCGCGCCGCAATGGACTGGTGCCAATACTCTCACATATACTCAAAGCATGCAACCGCCAGACCCTCGACACCTTCATACAACGTCATACTGTAAATTAATTACGTTAAGAGAAATTTTCTTGTTGAATCTTATAATTGAGCAGCATAACTATAAATCTGATTCTTTCACGAAACAGGGGGAGGCCATGGAAATGACGTCAGTGGAAACATCGGAGGATTGCTCTCTACGCAACCAGCACCCGAATATTGGTGTTCCGTCGGTTATTTCGAATTGGATATCCAAGTCGGAGAAACGTTCAAAGTCAGCAGCAGTTGTCCCACAGTCACCGTGGACGGCTACGTGGATCCGAGCGGCGGAAACCGATTCTGCTTAGGTGCCTTGAGCAACGTGCATAGGACGGATCAGAGCGATAGAGCGCGTCTTCACATAGGTAACTGTAATTCAGTTGAATTTCAAAGAAAGATTTTCAAAAGAAGATGTTGCGATGGTCCAATAATTAAAATAAAATCTTTCAGGCAAAGGCGTTGTATTGGATTTGAGAGGTGAAGGCGACGTTTGGTTAAGATGCCAGAGCGAGCACAGTGTCTTCGTGCAATCTTACTATCTGGATAGAGAGGCGGGCCGAGCACCTGGTGACGCGGTACACAAAATCTACCCCTCAGCGTACATTAAAGTCTTCGATTTAAGGCAATGTCACAAGCAGATGCGAGGCCAAGCCGCCACCGCACAAGCCGCCGCAGCAGCACAAGCTGCAGCTGTGGCGGGCCATCTTACGCATGGAGCGCCCATCACCAAAAGTAAGAACTGAGCATCTATCAATGACGCATTTTTAATAAGCATAACTAAGTATATTTTAATACAGTCCCAACATATGCTTTATATAAAACGCAATTATTATTCAGGTCTCAGTGCGGCTGCGGGAATTGGAGTTGACGATTTACGAAGACTTTGTATCCTGCGGTTGAGTTTTGTTAAAGGGTGGGGTCCAGATTACCCGCGACAAAGCATAAAAGAAACACCATGCTGGATTGAGGTATGTTTCATGATTTTATTTTGCGAATCTTTTTAATCAGATTTTTTTCTTTTAATCAAACAAGCGAGAACTCTAGTATAATTTAATAAATACTTTAAAAGCCAATGTATAAAACAATGTAAAAAACAAGAACTTATCAGTTTTTTGCTTAGACTATTTTTTATTTTGAAAATGAATATATAAAAGATTAAACATTTAAATCAGAGCCTAATTGCCCAATTTGCTTTTTACTAAGTTGCCAATTATTATAACTTCACGTATCTAAGATTCTGTTTTTGATATTATTTTCTAGGTGCATTTACACAGAGCGCTTCAATTGCTGGATGAAGTGTTGCACACGATGCCCATCGATGGCCCACGAGCGATCGAATAATTTTATCAAGCATGGAAGTGAATAAGAAACGCGAAGAAAGCATCACAATATTGTTGCTGAAATCGAGTGCGCAAGACCAAATTCATCAGATGGAAACGATCAAATGATTGAAATGCGAAATTCGGCCGGGAAACTTGGAGAGGAGAGATCTTACAGAAGCTATTTATATATTTAACGACTCGTGATATAATAACCTATGTAGAACAGGGGTTCCCAAACGTCCATGTTCACAGGCGGTCCGCAGAGAAAATATTTATAGATACTAAATTTCTAGACACTTGGCATGTATAGAATTGAGGTTCATGCACATATTTAAAAAAATATCTGCATACTTTTTTTTATTATAGTGTGTATATAATGTAGCTCATCTTTATTTTTTATTTGCAAATTATTTTTGTTAGATAATCGAAGAGAAAAAGGGAAAGACCAATGCGAGTCATCAATCATGACGCATAAATGATTTTTTTTGTTTAGCAGAGATGTTTTTAATTGTTTCGGTATAATCGTCCCAGAATTTCTGTAGGTAAATGAGAAAAATATGCGAGAATGATTAAACTGGAAACTGTTTATTAATGTTTTTTATGCAGAGTGACTTTATTTAAAGTGAACTTTATTTAATAATTTTGTTTCTCAATATCTGTTGCTATTGTTTCTCGACATGATGAACGTAGAGGGATCGAAACATTACGTTTACAATAGTATTTTATGCTGTAGTCCTATTTAAAAAGTTTAAATTGTTTTAACTTAACATTGTTCTGCGTTCTGTAACACAATTCTGTATTTATATTTCTGTTTTAAACTATAAAGTCACTTTTATATTTTAAGAAAACTATGTTTTTGTTGCATCTTTGAATTTAAACGTATAACTAATATCCGTTTTATATATATATATTTATATGTATGTATAATCTGATAAAATAATTTACTTGAAACAATTAGGTCAGAGTATACATTGGAAAAAAGATCGCGATTGAAAAGTTCGATTTTAAAGATCCGACAAAGTGGCTGAATAAGTCGAGAGAAGTATTGTCGGTCCTTTAACTTTTACTCTCCTCTTCGCTTCGGTGGTCTTCTTAACTGGTTTGAGAACCCCTGCTGTAGGATAAAATATGTGCCACGGCCTTGCACTACCACCAACGTACAAAAGTGAAAGAAAACGTTATTTTTATTTACGAGATGTAATTTTTTACGGAGAGAGGCGACATGGCGCGTCTCACCAACAGAGGAGCAGAAGAAAATAGAACGGCAGTCTTCTATTTTGCTAGGCGCGCGATGGGAAGATTCCCTCGGCGACGCGCAGTCCGCTAAGCTCACAGTGATACCAGTTTCAGAACCATTACATAGTCACGACCCTGTTCTTTGAGATTAGCTTTGTAAGATAAACTGAACTATTGTCTACATTTATTACCTACCGCGAATGTTAAGCTCAATATTTATATCGAGCAAGAGAACGGTCTTACATTTCTGAATTTCTGGATTTGTGGACGTGAGATAAAGGAGTGTATTAAAACTTCAAACTTAAATTCAAGGTAAAAATGATGGATTTATAAGCAAGTTTTAAAGTTTAGTAATTGCAGAGCTGGAAAAGGAGAACATCGGTGACGATTTCGAGCTTTCCGATGAAATTTAATAATTAGATTTTCGAGTCTCGCCGTAAACGTTCAAGGATCTAGGAATCCAGAGATCCTGGACCCCAGGGATCTCAGAACCCAGAAATGTTGAAGTCCGAGGATCTAGGAATCCGAGGGCGTGAGGGTTCCAGGACATAAGAATTATCTTTACGCACGTGTATACAGTAGGGATTTCCTCTAAAGACACAGTAAAACATTTCTGCCAAGTAGCAAAACGTAGATAGCTCGTAAGGATCACCCACGCGTACCACACAGTTATAATAGTCCTTTGTAAGGATAAACTTTTTGTATTTAAATTCGCATAAAAAGGATATCGTGATGTCACCACATTTTTTCTGATTTGCAAAACAGATCATACTTAGAAAACGTATTTATCACAGTTTATATATATTATAGGCATAGCTATAGCAATTATATTGGCAGAAATTTGGTACAGTGGCGTTAGAATTATTTGTTTATTACGAATGGGTAACTTGTTTATTGTCTGTTTTACAGTTTATAACCAAAAACTATTTTATATATAGAGACTTTGAAGTTCTATAATAGACATACTTGTTCGTCTTTTTTTTATTTCATCGTTTCGTCAAATAAAATCTTTTAATTTCTTAGTTATTATTGATTATCATTATTATTATCATTATCGCGATTACTGGAGGAGACAATAAAGAACCATACGAGACATGTACAACCTAGAGCAATAGCAAATGCTTATAAGAATAATTTTAGATCAGAGAACACAAAATTTTTAAGTTCAAGAATTTTAGAATGGAGAGATGAGATTTTAAGTATCTTTATACCATATTACTTATTATTATGTCTATATTTATGTCTATATTACATATTGACATTGAAAGGAATCGGAGCGGCAAATTGAATTCAATTGAAGCGAACGTATCTCTCTCTCTCTCTCTCTCTCTCCGGTTATGCGTCTCTTCCAGTCAACCGCCGAATGTTATTATTATTAAACGTAGTACTTGTTGAATAATTATACTTACTGTTTACCAGCTATTTTATTAAAATATAATCGTACAAAATATTCTTATATATATAATATTTGATAATATAATATAGAGAGTGATTATATACAAGAATGAGAGAGAGAGAGAGAGAGAGAGAGAGAGAGAGAGAGAGAGAAGGAAAGAGAGAGTCGACCAAATACGACGGTATGCATGTACAAGGTGCCCCAAAATGATTGAAAACAATATCTTTGCCCACCTTGTACATATATACTCCGCACATATACATGTATATTTTATTCTAATTGATTACGTTTTCGCGAAAACAGAAAAAGAATACAGAGAAATGTTTAATGCTTATTTAACGACACGATAGTATTTACCGATTCTCGCTTCTTTGTTGCAATTCGGCCTTAGTGTTGCGGAGTGAATGAGCGAATTTTCCACTGAGAATTGGGATGGCAAGAGAGAGAGAGAGAGAGAGAGAGAGAGAGAGAGAGAGAGAGAGAGAGAGAGAGAGAGAGAGAGAGAGAGAGAGAGACGAGGATTGAACGTTACCGTTTAAACTAAGTTCGAAAAGAAATTTGCACTCTGAATACACACACGTGGAAGTTGTCCGACGATTACCGTATTATTTCTCAACGACAGATCCCTTGACGAGAGCGGGATCCGCGTGTTCGTCAAGGAATCTACTATTTATGAAAGAAAAAATAATTCAGTAAACGTGGAGCGCGCCGATGTACACAATGCCTTCCTTTGATCGACCAATGAAATGTACACACAGCTCAAGTATATTGTCGACAAGAGATTCTTGCTTATAAAGCCAAGCTAGAAACACAATGTGCCATCGTTTTCGTGCATATATAAGGAAAGATAGAGAACTTAGGATTTCTTACAAGACTGTATTTTTAACTCCAGACTAAGCGTCCCCCGTGAATCTAATGAGAACCTAAACTACCGTTGAGCTAAGAATTTAGACTCGACCGCGAAGCATAATATTTCGAGACATCCGTAGGTCTAAGAAGCCGAATGAAAAAAAAAGAGATTCAGACTTGGACGATTGTAAGGATTTTTAAGAATCCGGCTCCGAGGCTCTAAGGGTCCTACGATTTCACGTAGGAGCCTAAGCTGCTTAGAAGGTTCCGCGAACCTGCAAAACAATTCCGTGGTTCTACATGATAATCCGAGTTCTGATCCGATCGTCTTTACAATTAGTGCTTAGCAACCTCCTGGTAGCGTAGAAAAAGCAGACGGAACGCAGCTCCTGAAACAAGCCGTGAGTTCTTTAACGCATGCATTAAAAGTGAAAGTCACGAGAATCTCGGAAAAGTAGAGGGAGAGAAAAATTAGCAATTGCAGGGCGACATGCTAAATGCAAGATTAACAGCTTGTTTCTCGACAAAGGGACTTAAGTATATGTATAACAGTTGATTCAGCGATGTTTTTTCGTCACTTATACATAAAATACTGCCACTTTCGACCTCACGAATTTTGCGAACGTTGCCTTTTCGGACGAACGCGGTGTCGAGACGCAAGAAGACTCCGTGTCACAAAGTCTGGCCGTCGGAGGATCGTGACTAGATTATTCTCGCGTTGAACTTTCCATCCGCTTTCTTCATTCATCACCCGGAGAACGTTTAGCATGGTACTGCCCGAGAGTCCTTCAACTTTCGAAGCCCAAGACTTTCGAAAAACGACAAAAGCTCGTCGAAAGGATCGCTGCGAGACAGACGGATCTTTTATCTCTTTACTTGCGTTTCTTCGAAGCGAACGGCACGAACTGGTCCGCGTCTAAGCCAAAGATACCCCCGACGAGATGCTGCAATGTTACGAGTTGTTAAAAAATATACGAGCGAGATTTCGATTTCTTCTCGCGCTGAACGTTCCCGAAAGGGGTGGTCGAATGGAGAATTGAAAAGCGGAGCTTAAAAGCCGCCGGAGATTTTTCTACCGAGGCTCGCCTTTTCGGAGCGTCCAGCGTGCACGAAATGTAATTATCCTTGCGAAATTATCTCCGTTCTGCGACACGCAGGTAGAATTATATCGCGGTCCCGTTCGATTTGCAATTGGATCCTGATTGATTTCTGCGCGAAATTCCGACTACGTTCGATCCGCGAGTGGCGTTAACAAAGAGGAGAGAAAAAGGAGGAAGGAGAGAAACGAGATTAGTATAGATACAAATTAATATCTGTGATTATCGTCGATGCAGATATATTTTAAGCAATTTCTAGTTCGGGCACATTTGTAAAAAAAAAGGAACGGAGGGAGGAAGAGAAAAAGGGGGAAAAGTAAAAAAAAACAATAACGATAATAACCATATACGGCGATAATACTTTTAGGGCGATTGTTGAGATAAGATTTATCCGTGTTTGTGTTGAATGCATGTTGTCGTGATGGCGAGGGTTAATTAATTATGTATTAATTGTAATTAGGATAATTAATATATATAGCGCGAGCACGCCATTGCTGTTTCGAGAGAAGAGGAACAAAAAAAAGGGGGGAGAGGGAGAAAAAGAGGAGGGACGACACGAGGGAGCTCGAGTGAATGTGTTTCGCGAAATCCGATTTTGTTGTACATTATAGATACATCGCATTATACACGATCATTTTCAATAAACATATTCTATAAATGATCTCTTAAATGTTCTCTGTCGCGCGGCAGTTTATTCTTGCTGGGAAATGCATTTAAATTTCTCGTAAATGTTACACTTTTTTCTAAGTTTCATCATCAAACGCCTTTTTCGAGAACTCTAAATTTTTTTTATAACAAGATTAAAGCTCATTTAAAGAAAAATTTAACAATGGTGAGCGATGTTCATTTTGAAAGTGATACTAAAAGAAAGTGCTTTATTAAATGCCCAGGAGATAAGTTTTTGTTTAAAATATTTTTTCATATTTGATTTTCAGAATATACAAGTCAATTTCTTTTTAGAGTGGATGCAAAGTACAACTTTACGACATATCCGCTAAATGTACGGAACAAAAGTCTTATCGATCGAGTGTTGCACCAATTGTTTCAATTAAAGAACAACGTTTATCTTTATCTAGAAGGTATATAAAATATTATCAATCTAATTGTAAATCGTCAAGGAGAACGAGGTAAAATACACCCCGTGTGTTTTTAATTACGTTAAAAAGGAACCACGCGAGTAACGAAGAGTTAAAAAATGCGCATCTTTTATTTTGCTTTGTATTAAGACACATTCTCTTACAGCGACTTATTAAAATTATTACAATCAGCCATCTTTTATACCGACACAGTTAAATGCAATTTCTAGAGCGCAGGCGCGGCGGATCGGCGTGCATGAAAAAGGAGGCGAAGCGCCCATAACCTCGTTTTCGAGAGAGCGAGAGTGACATAACCAAAGTTGGAGCGGCGAGGCGATTAAAGAGTTGCGTTGTTCAAGTTCGTAGTCGTATTATGGTACGTGTCATTTAATTATTATTACCAATTAATATCTACTGATTATCGGCATTAAATGCCAAGTTTTCTGTACGACCTGTCCCGCACCTTTTGTACTTTTCTTTCATTCTGGTTTGTTTACTTGAACAACGTTCGCTGCAAAACGTGATATTAATATTAATCGATCATGTTGAAGCTTTTTACTTAGAATCAGTGGAGTCTTTGAATTGGACGATAGGATTAGTGCGACAGATTGATTTACAAGTAGAAACAAATGATATAGCAATGTGTGTCGCAACGACTGTCAGTAATACAATTTTCACGGCAATGAGTCTTTTCGCAGCTCTAGAGACAATGCAGGCGACGAGGATAGTAAAAGTCAACGCCCTAGCGATGAACACCGCTGGGCTCTGCGAGACCTTGGTACCAAATTCCGTCTACACACAGTGCGTACGTTGGAAGAGAAAACCAATTTGGCTGCCCACAGCGAAATCCAAGCTATTTCGAGTACCGAAGAGGCCGGTCATACCTATTGAGGAGCAAGAGGAGATCTTGCGTTTGTACAACAATTACAGGACGTATATGACGTCGTTCAGGTACGCGCGCAAGATACAAATGGTTCTGTAACTTGGACTGGCGAGATATACGTAAGAATCTGGTTGCGATACTATTCCGTTTTCGCGGCGTGAAAATTGACGGGTATGTTGCAGCGCATTTTTAAGGCAAATCGCAAAGCAGGACGAGATACAATCCGACGAGGCGGCTATGCGGCAGACTGAGGAGGAGGACTTCAAGGAGCGCAGTGGTATAAACGACGAGTGGAATGCGGAAATAGCGAATATACGAGAGGCTAGACTGGAGGAGATGAGGGAAAAGCGCAGAAACCTTATTCTCTACAGTTTACTGAAGAACGAGCAGAAGCAGGAGGCGCAGAAGGAGATGGTCAACGAGTGGATCAGAAAGACCAAGGTGGACTCTGTCACGTTCATCACTGCGGAGAATGTGGACGCCGCGATCGAGGAGTGTTTGGCGAACGTCGTCAATCACAATCGTGCGTTGGACCTGGACGGCAATTGGCACGAAGGGAAGTATCCTCCGGCTCCGCCTATCGACGAGGCGCAGAAGCCAGCGGCTGTCGAGCAACAGAGTTAAATTTGAAGATCCCTCGTGTCCGGAAACTGCCCGGAGTAAAAGCCAAGTCTTACCGAACTCGAACGTTATTTCAAGTGTTCGACCTTCTTGCTGGAATAATGATGATAACGATAAGTACGAGCTGTTATATTATAGATTGTAATAAATATAAAATAGACACTCCTACATCGTTCCTTGCCGTATGCAAGTGTATTCCTGAAGAACTAGGCGACCAACTAATAAGAACTTGAAAAATTAACGCACTATTTTACAATTGAAGTAGACTGTATATAATTGTAGAGATTGTACGTGATGTACTATATGTATAGATGCAAAAAAATTGAAAAATTGTAACAGAAGTTTTATTGCAGAGAGTTGTGCGAGGCCACAATGCCCGGTAATAACACACGTGCGAGGAAATAAAGAATTTAAGGCGCGGCTAATTATGATATCGGTTAATTAGTCAAAGTTTTGCGTCCTTGTAGCGAGCAGGAGCTCGCCGAAAGCTTAGGGGGCAAAGTGTCTGAAGTGTTCCGTATAACTAGCGTAGCGCGCACGCGGAGCACCTCATTAAAACGGCGCGACTCGAATGCAACCCGGTTGTATCCGCGACATATGTATGTATATACATACAGGCGACTGCCTGCCGTGCCGCTATTTACCTGCTTCCCTTTAACGCACTTGGAGCGCAGTCTTTCGCGAACGGCGCGCCGACTCGCATCGCCGATCTCGCCCTCTCGACTCTCGAAGCGAAAAGAAACCCGGGAAAATATATTCGCAGACCAAGCTCGACTCGTTGACAAACAAAATCGCGAACGGGACCGGCCGTCGATCGGAGAGCCGCGGCACTCCGTGCGATTAGGTGAATAAAAGACGACTATCGAGGATTCGTTGTTGGAAAATTACGCAGAGCATCGTGAACATTTTTTTACAACTTTAGTTATTTTGTTAAACTGCAAAATTACGAATTGCTTAACTCTCTTAACCGATTCGAAAGCTTTGAAAAAGATTGTTTACGTCTACTTTTTAATCCCTCGGTTAGAATTGAACACTCTGGGCTTGCGAATCTCTGTTAAAAGGCGCAATTAAAAAATGTGTTCGTTCTCCGAAGGATTTCAGAGGATCAGCGGGATTTAATTGTTACGAATCGTTGCGTCGACGAAAATGTACAGTGTACACGTGGCACCGGGAAGATCCGCGGACCGAAAGAAGAACTCGGACGACGTGGACAACGAAATCGGAGCGTACGGCGGACGGAGGAAGGAATCGATTTCCGTGAAGCTGATAAACTACATCCGTTCGCAATTTCAGCCAGACGCTATATCAGGTGAGTCGGAAAAAGTTTAGCGTACTAGAGCCCGCGCGATGAATTAACTGTGATTATAGTCGCTGGATTTCGCCGGCGCATCTATATTTACGCGTTTTACCAAATGTGTAAATGCATTTGAACGCACGTGCACTTATAGATATTTCTTTTTTGATGCATGAACTTTATCTGTTTATTATACATTTTAATATACAATATCCTGCACAGCTCGACTGCGCAATCTAACTAAAAGTACATAGAAAACAGTATTATTTATTATTTTTATCTATATAATTTCTAATTTATGTTTATTAATTTTCTATATAATATATAGGAGACGTAGTATATACATATAATATATGTATATAATATATATGTATATATAATATAATACATATAATAATATGTATATAATATATATAAATCCTATATATAATATAAAAATCCTAATAACTCTTTTCTCCTAACACATGAAAAAAATATATAAAGCCTTTTCACATCACACAATATATCGCAATCTCATGTGAATAATAATAGTTCATTAAGTACGTTCAAGAAGGTACTTGGTTAATTGTATTTTACCGTTTTATCTCCGATCTACGGAACACATTTGCCTTTCCACGAGATATCGAGTCCTGAAGCCTCTGTGCTTCAAAATAGAACTTGCAATGATCTGCGGTAGAAGCGTTTGTACGTTCAAAGATAGATCCATCCGTCTATCTCCCAAGGTGATATCGATTATTCAACTTCCATTTCTGTTTGCTATTGCTTTCTGCTCGGATATCGTTCCCGTTCCAGTTACAAGCCGGTAAAATAATTGCGCGTGTCACTCGTCGACGATGCGGAAGCGGCAGAGCAGGTTGGCGCGCGTCTCGCGGCAATATCGCGCAAAATTATTGAGACGATCAATTGCGCGATACGAGAGACGGGCGGGTTTCGGCTGTCCCTATTCAAAGCCTGAAACAATAGCAAGATCCTCCCGCAGCTTTAGAAATGGAAAAAGGTATCGTGATTATCCCGAAGAAACGATCGTTCGTCGTCACTCGACGGTTCGAGGAACGTCGTCCGTTCCACTTAACAACGTCACGATTTTACTGTAGTTATTTTTGTTTACTGTCGTAAATATTTGGCGCGTGGATCTTAAGTCTTCGCTATATCCGGCGCGTCCGGGATGTCGTCAAGCCGATCGGCGGTAACGTTGAAGAAGAGCGAGTCCGAACCTTGGATGTTCATGTCGTCGGCGATGGACGGTGGCCCGTACTGATTCATCCATACGTCGTTGATGGGAGCAACGTTGGCGGGCTCCCTCAGATCGTCGTTGCCGGAGATGACGGCCGTGTGCGTCGGCATGGGCTGCTCGAACAGGTTGCCGTGCGCATTCGTCATTCGCATGCCTTGCGACGTGTCGTTGTACAGCATCCAGTAGGGCGAGAAGGAGTGTTGCCGATGCTCGGCGGTGTATCTCCGTTCGGTCGAGCAGCCGTTAATCGCCAGATTAGATCGTTGCGAGACGATCGGCGCCATGTAGCAGTAGACGCAAGATGTCTGACTTAACTTGGAGTAATCCACTTGCTTGGACACGTGGTAGTTCAGAACGTTCTCCAGATTGTTGTTGTGCTCGGGGGTCCACTTCGGCCAGAACGCCTCCGTTGTTCCTGATTGACGAAATACCGCTTAATTAAAACGCCACGAAAATATAATTGTTCGTTGAAAAGAAAAAAAACAAGAGAGAACTAATGTTATTTAAGAGAAGTTTAAATACGTGATTTTTCATTTTTATATAACGTACAGAGATGTACACACTTTACATCTCATTTTTACGTTAACTCTTTTACACGATCTTTATGTGTCAATGTCATCTGTTTATAGCAATAAGAAGACTAAATGAAACGCGCACCATTTGCCGGTCTCTGCAAATTCCCCGTACCAGTTTCCTGATTAATATTATTTTCTACTATTCTCCCTGCCACAAAATTGCTTTGCGGCTGCTCGAATCTCTCGTTCAACAGATTGTTCGTCTCCTGAGTGAATCGAGGATAAAGGTACTGATACTGCTGGTCGTTCGCGTAGACATTTTGCTGCACGTTGTTCTGCTCGAAGGTGTCGACGTTGCGAAAGTATCCCGTGTTCGTCTCCCCGCTGTGCCTACCAAAATTTTGCAGATAATAAATATCAGATGGATCGTTGGTCACCATATCGGTGCCGGTCGCGTAGTTGTCCTGCGCGTCCAAGTTGAAGGCGTTTTGACCGCTGTTACAAGCGGTATCTGTCTGATACTGATAAGTCAGATTGTTGTCCGCGTTCGCGGTGGACCCCGCAGTGGAATCCGTGTTGTTGTAATAGACCGCGTGGAATACCTTGGAGAACTGCAGCTCGCTGTCTGGCACCTCCATCACGCTAGTGATGGTCCAATTCTGGTATGAGTTGGGCCGATTGTCTATGTCGCCAGGATACCTGTACTGATTGTCGTCAGCCAGTACGGCCGAACTCTGCTGAGGCATCAGGTTCGCCTCGTTTAGCAGGTATTCACCCTTGGAATTCTTCAGCAAGTTGTAGTACTCGTTGGTATTCGCGTTGAGCTCATTTTCATTCTCGTTGCTCTCCGACTCGGCGGTCAGGGTGTCGGAATTATCCAGCAGATTGCTGGTCCAGAAAATAGAGCTGGCGATCTCGCCTAGATTGGCGCCCACCGGCGCCTGCAGCATTCTCTTGAGCAGGAACGAGCCCTGCAAGCCTGGCTCAGGCTCCTTCAACACCTGATAACTCGATCTGTCGTTGGACGAGATCGCGAGGGGATCCGTGTCGTTGATCAGATTCGCTCTCGGGTAGCTCGGCTCGACCAGAGGAATCGTTTGAAGATCGGGCGACATCGGCGCCGTCCGCAGATCCACGATACTCAGATCCTCCACTTGGTTATTGTTGCTGTCGCACGCTTGGAATTCCCGTTGAATCCTGAACAGGCACTGCTTGAACTCCTCGTAGTGCGGGATCTTGATGTCGTCCTCCTTGCTGGCTATCTCCTCCTCGGCGCCGATCTGCAAAAACGGGAAGCACTTTGTCGGAAGTCAATCATTGCCGCTCGTTCACTGCGTCGCGAAAACGAATGGAACGTAAGAGTGAGAAGAACAAGGGAGAAGGGGAATACAATTTTATTTGTATCTAAAATCACATTGCGCTCAATCACGGAAATTTATGGCAACTTACCCACTGACAAGGCGACTGTTGCTGCGGCTGATGTTGCTGCGGCTGATGTTGCTGCTGCTGCTGCTGCTGCTGCTGCTGCTGACAATAGTCGTCGTCGGCCATTATATAATCGGGGCTGTGCAGCGGCGTCGACGTTACCCCGAGCTTGGGGTCCTTCGACTTCCTCGTCTTCCTCTTGCGGTTCTTCCTCAGCTCGTGCTGCAGCCGGTAAAACTCGGCGTCATTTCCGCTCTTGGCGGCTTGCAGAACCTTGACCAGCACTTTCTTCTGCAATTCACAGAGGCGCGATGAGACACGGCAGGATCAAACGTTCGCGATAACTGGCCGAGTTAGAAGAAATAAAAGAGGGATCGAACCTCTTTGCGTGGCAACGAGATACGGCTTTTGGAAATATTTTATGCCTTTCTAAGGGAAACAATTCGAAAGGGATAGGATATTGACCAAAGGGTAAAAAGTCATCCGACGGTTGGAACAATCGACCCTGAGCCCCGTAAGACTTTCTTGCTCTACAGTGCTCCACAACTTAGCGACATATGACGTCGCTCACAGAGATATGGAATTACAGGGTATAAGTTATATATTCAAGTTTTTCGCCATCTCTTCGTTTATTCGCGATTTAAAGAAAAGCGTGGGACCTCTGTACCGAAAACTTACGCCAACTTCTACACCAATGCAGATTAATTTTAATTCCGGTTTAAGCTTTTATCTTTTTCCACGTCCAGAAGCTGGAAAGAGACAGAAAGTAACTTGAACCGAGATCGAAGTTAATCTGCATCGGTAGAAATGAAACATTGGCGAAAGATTTAACTCTGGCCTCGGTGTAACTTACTTTTTATCTTTTGCCAGTTTCAGCAATTGGAAAAAGACTTAGTTGGACAGGGAGTACGTTCAGTTTTACGCATGACGCACATATTGC